ATAAAGATATAGGAAAAATTAGGGGTGCGAGGCGTGCAAGTATCAATAAGATATCCACATCTGTAGAGTCCACCCCACAAGATGGGGATAAGTCACAGAGACTCTTGTAGGAGCGAAAGCTTATTCATTCGGTGAGATTACCTCTTAGCTAAATATCAAGAATCCAAAGGAAACATTCTTTTGTATGGTCACTCAAACCATAATAATATCTTAGGAAATGGAAAGTTACCTTTGGGAGTTTGAAAAGGACGTGCATAAGAGGATAGCCCTAAGACGTGGCTAAAGCTAGAAAGTTGCAAAGATAAAGTTGAAGCATTTTACTGCTGATTTTGAACAGATAATTCTTATACCGGCCGAAAGTAGTGAACACAATACAGCAGCACAAACAGAATTTGATATTGACTTGCGATTAGAATTATAAAGTCGGCCAAAGTGATTAAAGTAATATTAAAAGGTGCAGTAGAACGATTAGATCAAAGGCAATTAAAAGATTGCCAACATAATTAAACATTCGTTAAGGGATAATGGTAAGGAGATCGGGCTACTTAGGCTGAGAATGACAATCATTCTGTTTCAGAAATCAATTTCTGGCTAGAAATTGATTTTTCTACTTCTGTTCCTAGAGGAGTTTCTGAGCAAAAAAACACGTTTGATAACGACACAAAATTTCTATTCCAGAAACAGAAATTTGTTTGATAACGGCATAAAATTTCTCCCTCTTAGGTGTCCGGAGAGTGGATGGCGGGCAGCGGTCCACGGCGACCGGCGGTGGGAGGTGGGCAGCGGTCAAAGGTGGGCGGCGACGAGAGGAGGGAGGTCGGTGGCGGGAGACGGTGGCCGACGGTGGGAGACGGTGCCCGGCGGCGGGAAGCGGACGGCGGCGAGAGGAGGGCAGCGGGAACGGTGGCTGGTGAATGGTAGGCGGCGACCGGTGGTGGGAAATAGGCGGCGGCAGAAGACGATGGCGAGCGGCGGCAGGAGACGGTGACCGGTGAACGGTGGCTGGCGGTGGGAGGCGGGCGGCGGTGGCTGGTAGCCGCTGGTGGCCACGGCCGGCAGGTAGGCGGAGATGGGCGGCGGGTGGGCGACCGATTAGTAGCGAAGACGAGCGATGAGAAGAATTTGAACTTATCATTTCTGTTCCAGAAATAGAAAAGCAAAAAATTTCAATTTCTGATTTCTGTTTCAAACCTATTTCAGGAACAAAAATTTGTTCAAAAAATATAAATTGGAATTGCGTTATCAAACGGATTTATGTTCCAAACCTATTTCTAAAATAGAAATAGAGAAACAGAATGGTTATCATTCGCAACCTTAAGGTGCGTTTGGAACAAATTCCCAAAGCCCTCTAGGCCTATGAAGATCCTTGGGCAAACGCTAAATTGTTTGGTAAATAATTTTGGGAGCCCATAAGGAAATGGGATTGCATTTCCGTAGTACTCCAAAGGCTTTTAGCTCAAGGCCAATATTCACAGCATCGAGCATTCGGCATCTTTGGAATGTTGGAGCCCACAATTAATGATACTTTCAATTCCAATTTTGCCCTCACTAGTTTTTCGTTTTCCTATTGTTTCCCTGAAATTCGCACTGTTCATCTCTTTTCTTTGCTCATCGTCTCTCTTTGAATAAGGGCACTCTGCGAAGCGAGGGACAATTGATGGTCACGGTCGGTGAGCTAGATTTGGAGGATCAACGTGAGATTTGGAAAATCGAGGCTCGCCGATGGCGCCGAGGCTTGTGCAACACTTGTGCTCAATTTCGAGCCCTAATCACCGGAGTTGAGGGTCTCCTAGTCGAGCCCAGCCGAGTTCAAGACTCAAGGCTTGTCGTCTTTGTTAGATGTGGCTTGCCTGAGATCATGCGACCACGGTGTTGCCTTGCTTGGGGTTGCTTGATCTCAGTAACCCGCATTGGGTTTGCACGATGTTCGCAAGCTCAGATTTGAACCACCTAAGGCCATGTGTCGACGTTAGTGTTGCTTGATCTAGAGTGGCATGATCTCGATGGCTAGTCTTTTGGGGTCGCGTGACCTCGGGGATCACCGTGGCGGGACCTGCCAAACGACACGAAGTTGGGTATGTTGGAATTTTTATTTTTTCTTTTGTCATTTACCAAAGTCCTTTATGCAAATAGTGGTTACCAAATACTATTCGCATTCCGTGAACACCTTTTAGCCTAAAAACCCTTTTAATCCAAGATCCTTTGCATAGGCATTTCTCAAAAACTCTCCCAAACACACCCTCAGCAATTTTGAAAAAAACGAAGAATAAGAACTATTCTATTTAGATCGATATAACTATGAGTATCCATAGATAAATTAATATCATTTCTGGCAATCATTATGAAAATACTAAGGCTTGGAATAACAGGAATATCTACTCAGTAGTCGGTATAATTCAAAGGAGGTTCTATTTTAACTATTATAGAGATCATTAGCTAAAATATGATTTAATACAAAGTAAGCCTACATGATTAAAGGTAAGGAACTAAAATGAAAAGTGAAAGTAAACGAAAATTAAAAGATTTCTATAAATTCGAAAACTTGCAATTCCTCCTTTTTATGTTTGTTATTTCCTACTTTTTGAGCCGAAAAAATAATATTTTGCTCATCGAGTCAAAAGAGATTGAGCAAATGGGACTCCTCCTAGTGTAGTGCAGGAGAAGGTATTTTATATGACGGATCCACCGTGAGATAAACGATGATATTGTGTAACCGACCAATTTCTATTGCATGGGAAAAATATCCAACTAGTCTTAAACCTATTGCACGGATGCCAATTCGATTATAAACTTTTTAATTTGTCAATTTAGTCCTAACCTTTGTGTGAAATTCCACTGTAGTCCTTCCGGTCAATTTTCAACGGGAATTGCTGACATGATAGTCCAGTCATCGCGGGCCGTCCTACGCGGTACACTGTTTGGTCAATGATTTCCAACTAAAATCGGCAGGAATGACTACATTAGAATTTCACGTAAAGGTTCGGGGTCTAAATTGAGAAAATTGAAAAGGTTTGAATTTGTATCCGTCACAATAAAATTGTGACTGATCAGATAATTGCCCTCCGTCGCGCGTGCTATGGATCTCATCCCGCGCTCCCCTTTTTCTTTATCGGTTGATTACACTAAATGTGACCGCCGTGGGATATGCGCGTGCCACTGAATATTTTCTCCGCCGCCGCGCAGTTGCCTTGCAACGAGATACAAAGAATATATATGCGCTGATGCATCTAATCTAGCTCAACAGACCGTGCACAAAAGGAATAAAGCTGACCGTAGATGTCGCTTTTGACTTACGAAAAAGAAGAAGTCCATCTTTCCCACTTAAAAAAAGAATCTTTCATCTCCAATCACAAACAAACAATGCCATAATCCCCAAATTCGTTGATATTTTATCGCGAAAAATAAATAATTTTGAAATTTTTTTTAAAAAGCAATCGCTTGTATCGCTTATAATATTTTCATAATCTATAAAGATAATTAGATATAAATTATTGTCTATAATAAAAACCTCTTTTCATTTACGAAAATATTTATACATAAATTATTGTCAATAATACAAATATTTAATATTTAATTAATATTTTAAATGAGGTAAATGATTATTTTTAAGGAAATACGTTTTAAATTATTTGTTGTTTGCGAAAAATACGGGGGTTTAATTGGTTTGATTAAAAGCATGTTACGTGTTTTCAGTGGCATTGTGAGGGATCCGGTGTTGCCAACACGTGGAGAGGAATGTGGGCCCCCCAGGGGGCAAAAAAGATACTTATGGAAGACTAATAATTCATTGTGTAAAAGGTCTTTCGAGGCTACATCTCTATTATGAATAGAGGAAATCTAGGGTCACAACTTCAACATTAAATTATTGCAAAAGATTATTATAATCCATGCCTTCATCTAATAATAACCCGTCCCGATAAAAAAAAAAATCTAATAATAACCCGTTACCGTCCATAATCATTGTAGTGGACGATCATCGAGATAATTAAGTCCGTACATCTCCCAATTTCTAAGTTCGATTTCGAAATAGTTACCGATTATTATCTAAATACCCTCGCCTTATCTATCTTGCCGGACTCCAATTTAAAATCATATTCCCAATCTTGAAGGATCAAGAGGTTTTACGGGCAGTATGCTTGCTCATTTATCTGGTAGATAGAGTTAACACTTTTTTGAGATTGTCTTTCGGAAACGAAAATGGCAATTTTGCGTTTTTGCAAAGAAAAATTCGACGTGCTGTAACGAGCTAATCCTAATTCCAAAGTGGTAACACAATTAACTTTGTTTCGATTTTTGAAAGATTTCCTCTTCAATTGGGTTTGCTTCTCAATACTAGTAGAATTACAATATAAGTAACCCGTAAAGTATTAATATATTAATAACACGGATTGTAATATATCTTAACGATAGTTATGACTACGGGCTTATCCGTATATCTATTTTGTTATGCGAAGGGAAGCAAGTTCTTATCTTTAAGAATACGCGTCTCCGTGTTGAATTCTACCTATACATATATAATTCTCGAAACATTCCACTTCCACCGGAAAAAAAAAATAAAAGAAGAAGAAAAGAAATCCCACGCCATATTGTATTTTCTCGCAAATGATCGAATAATAAAACCTTTAAGTTTCCTATAAAATCGCGCATCAATGAGAAACGGAAAGAATAAGATGAAAGCTAAATCCATCCTAATATCTTTTTATTTATTTAAAAAGCATTAGCGAATATTCATCTTCCCTATGTAACAACTAGCAAGTGACAACGGAAGGAAACTCGATTTGATCTGACGATCTGATGATTCCCACCAACCCAAAGATCGTTTGCCTTTTTGACCCCCATAATCCTCCTCCACTCAAATTACCAAAAGAACCAAAATATTTTTTTTTTATTATTTTCCCAATTATTTTGCCTATCTGTTGTTTTTTACTTCTTTCTTTTTTCCACTTTTTTATATATTTTTCTCCGTGAAGCTTCCTCTCGAAATGCTTCTTCGGCCTCGCCTACAAAACTTGACCCTTTCTCTCTCTTCTCTCTGTCTCCTTCTCGCAGCGCGAAGACTCCCCTGCCTGTGTCATCCGTGCTGCTTCTTCCCCTCCCGGAATAATCGGCGGGTGAATGGCTTCGAATCAAGCCAGCCTTCTCCTCCAGAAGCAGCTCCGAGGTCCGATTCTGACCCTGATTTCGCCTTCCCTTTTTTTTTTTAGGGTTTCTTCGCTGTTCTTATTCTTCTCGCGGTCGATGATGGCGTGCGGTGTTTGGTGATCGGGTGCAGATCTTTGCAGGAACCCGGTGGATGGGTTCTCCGCGGGGTTGGTGGACGAGACCAACGTGTTCGAGTGGAGCGTCTCCATAATTGGCCCTCCCGACACTCTATAGTGAGTCGGAATCGGTTGTTTTTTTTGCGGGATTCGTCGAGCTCGAAGTTTTGTTCTTCTTTTGTTGCTCTCGATGGACTTTTTTCCTTTTCCTTTCGTGGGTCGATTCTATTTTTTTTTTATGTGGCGGCGTGAATGGTTGGTTTTGGGTTCTGGAAAAGGTGCTTGCTTTTTGGTTACGCGTTTCGGAATGGTTTTAGAAAAAAGTGGGATCGTTTGCTATGTTGACCGTAGAAATTAGAGGTGTTTCAATTGGGTATCCGTTTATTTGGAGCTGGATTTCGTCTTGATTGTCATGATGCTTCGGCTCCAACTATTCTTCTGTACGTGCGTTCTTGAATCAAAATTTGGCACCTGACTGAGGAGATGTATGTTTTCTACTTGATTGAAAGACAAACCTCGGTGGTGGGCGTTGCGTTAAACTATGGAAAAGAAGGGCGTGACTTGGTTACCACATGCTCGGCTAATGGTTTAATTGATGGGTATCACTTGATATAGTACTTTTGACTGCACGAGGTGATGGGTTTAGATGAATTTCCTTGCATACTTTTCCCAACTTTGATGGGTCATTACCTTGACTGGACATATGATTTGTACCGCAAAATAGATGGAGATCCATGTGTGGCTTTCAGAAGGAGGCTACGGATTTTTTCTTGTATTTATCAATTTTGTTACCCTGTATTTATGTGAGATGGAGAATTCTTTTTATGTCCTTTAATCTGTTTTACTCCTTAGTGAGCTTGTTATTTTGTGGCTTCTTGCGTCCTCTGCTGACTTAGGGCACTGGCACACTTATCTAGTAGCATCATTTGTTATCCGGCGTGTATCATGTACTGAAGAAAAGTTTTGACATTTTTCTGCTATTTACATTCTTATGGCAGTGAAGGAGGTTTCTTCAGTGCAATAATGAGCTTTCCACCCAACTATCCTGTCAGTCCTCCAACAGTGAGGTTTAGCTCAGAGGTGTGGCATCCAAATGGTGAGAGCCTTCTCCTACCATCATGAATGTGGCAGTGCTTTTACTGTTATAAGCTGTCTGATTGTCTGAACATTGCCATCTGTAACTGTAGTGTATCCAGATGGAAAAGTTTGCATTTCAATACTCCATCCACCTGGTGACGATCCAAATGGATATGAGCTGGCAAGCGAACGTTGGTCTCCTGTTCACACAGTATGTCTTTAGATTTAACATGTTCTCTTTGTGCTTCACAACCTTCATTCTCAGTAAATTCACCTATTCTTACTCATATCCTGTTAACCACCTTCTATGGTATTGCCCGATGGAGAGCCACTGACTCTGAATGCATGACTCAGTCGTGAATCTCAACGAGTGAGCTTTTTTATCAGTCTTTCTTCTGGTGTATACAAGGGTCCTCTTTACTTAGGGATATCCGCCATCAAATGCTGCAATTCTTAAAGAGCACACTCTTGGTGTTGCTGCTTACTCTTTTGTGGGAAAGGAAAACAGCTGGTTGCTGGAGACAAATGCAAGTGCTCTCTATCTGTGCTCGATACCAATCTCTAGTTGAGTAGGCCAATGAATGGCATAACAAGCTGAAAATGACATATGGCATTGCAGCGCAACCCGAATCTTTTGATGGGAATGCATTGTTAAATTCATGCCTTTTCACCGATATCGAGATGGCTTAATTGCCTCAAAATTCTTGTACTTCAATGCTTTTTCTCAAATTTACCTCAAACTTTCTTACCGTGAACTATGATCACTTTTGCAATTTTTACTCTATCTAAGATGGAAACATGTTTTACTAGCCTTTTGTCTGAGTTGGTTTAGTCTGATCTGGGGCCTATGAATAGATTTGCATAAAGTTTGGTAGTTACTTACTAAGACTGGTGGTAGAAACTATTAAGCTGGAGTTGGTATATCAGTTTCACTATTCTCGCTTTGTCTCCTTTTGTCTTCCTAACAATGGGGGTGTCCGGGGCTCTTCGATTCCCGCATTAGCTCTCCATTTCTTCGTAATGTAACATCTTATTTGTTTATATGTGCATCATATGGTTGAAGTTCTATTTTTTTGAAGTTTAGGTCAAGTAAGTGACATTATGGTGCCTTGTTGCCATCAGATTAGCCATGAATGGTTGCATAAAGAATTGCTCAGGGTGGTGGGATTACAAAGTCAGGAGTAGAATTGAAAGATTCGAAAATTTGGATGAAAATTGAAGAGAACCTTAGAGTCCATGGTTTTTTTTTTTACTATGCCGCATTGCGTGAGTTTGCCTTAGTAGATTTTGCAATGGTTCAACTTTCAGGATACAAATGTACCTAAAAGATGATTCTTTTTCCTTTTTATTTAATTGCCTTTTGTGACTACTGAGAGTTTTAAAACTAAAGGTAAACTTATGTTACAAGTAGAAGACAGTATCGTAGTTGATACACCCATGCTGAAGTACATCATTTGTCTCATGATGAATGTGATCTACCGAGAAACATTTGCTATAGTGGATTTAGGACTGATGTTTCGGTCCTTGACATGCATCAGATGTATGGGGTGTCAGAAACTCTCCATGTGACACTTTTTAATCTGTTCCATTAAAAGAGCATCGATTATCGGACTTGAGATGCTTTCCTGGCTGTATGTCAGATTCGTCAGAATTCAGAATACCTATCTGGGAAAGGCCATAGAGTTGTCTGAGGTGGGGCACTTTTTGGAAACAAGCCGTGTGTGGGTAGCTCAACTCTATCATCCTTAGATTTGGAAGGAATGCGAGCGTGTAGTGGCTCATATGGATAAAAGGTAGTGAGCCTACGGTTTGAAGGGGGGGGGGATCCCCCTAAACACGCATTTGGTGGAAGCAGGGGCTTTGTTATCCATGGCAAAGTGTATTCGACAAAGATGGATGCCACAGCAAGCTGTTTTGTGGGTGCTTTGCAAATATGCTCAAGAAAAGTGCTGAGGAACACGGAACACTGTATCGTCGCTATTTTGATTCATGCAAAGCATCATACTATTGCCATATTGTGGATGACAGAAACAGGAAACGTGAAAGTCAAGTCATTTTTTTTTTTGGTCGAAAAAGTCAAGTGATTTAGGTGGTACAATTTTTGCACCAGTTGCATGCCATTAGTGTAGGAACTTGGCAGAAAAACACATCTCGCGGAAATGGTGGAATATATGGGAGTGTGGTTTCAGGAACTTTGGGGCATCTATGTTCCTGTCGAGGAGAAAAAATTAAGTTTTACCCATATTTGGATGACCTAGTTTATTGGATTGGAGAAAGCGTTCGACATTTTACACTCAATTATTGAATGTTCGTGTTGCATTTGCAAGAACAAATGATACTGAATTGAAAGATTTTGACAAATTTCCTATAATGTTCTTCACGGTTCAGGCCTAGGAATACTTTCAAAAGTTTGTGTAGCCTTGTTTTCTTGTTTCCCTGATTGGCTTTGACACACCAAAGTTAGGGTTTTGACTGCTTTTATTACTGCCTTGTCTTCATTCTCCTTGCTGTGGATCAGAAAACACTCAATTGCTGTAGATGGTTCATGTTTTCATAATGCAACGTAGTGACTGATGTTTCTCCATTTGGCAGGTTGAGAGCATAGTTTTAAGTATTATATCGATGCTTTCCAGTCCCAATGACGAATCTCCAGCAAATGTCGAAGCTGCGGTAGTTTTTTGACATCCTCTTTTTTGTGTTCAATCTGTTCAGACAACTATGTCCGGTTTGGTAGATATTGACCTGCATGTCGGAACAAGGATTTTTCTGTTCTGAGGATATCTAGTGAGAAATGTGGTCATAGTATTGGTAGGAGGAACATTTTGGGAGCGATATCATCTGATTGTTGTAGTAGCAGAAATTTCCTGTTTCTCTGCCTTCGTATGAATAGCTGGATATATCCTCCTTGAAGTCAAAGTGAGTCATATGCAGTACACCTAATTGGAGGCATTGATTTGTCTTTGTTTGATAGAAGCCTTTTTGTCCCTTGACCAGGAAGGAATGTATACCTGTGCATGTCTGGCTGGTAAAACTTCTTGTGTGGTGGGGCCTAAATCTTTGTGATTTATGGATGGACTAGGTTGCTATACGATTTGGTTGAAGCTTTTCTGCATCATATTTAAAAGGCTTTCTGCTAGATTTTCTATTTTTGAGGCTAATATGGTAGATTTTTTTCTGGTCGATTAATGTGGTAGATTGAGAAATGCATTTTTAAATATTTTGAGTGATGTTTGCGGGCTTGTGGTAGCTTTACTTGCCAATTATTTGGAACTTATTTTTGCATCGTTCTAAACTTGTACTGCAGAAAGAATGGAGGGACAACCGGAATGAGTTCAGGAAGAAAGTTGCTCGCTGTGTGAGACGGTCTCAAGAAATGTTATGACCTCTTACTTTGCTTCTTCTTCTTGGTGCTGTTTTAGTTTTGTCTCCTGTAACGTAAGACTTCTTCCTGGGAGGGAGGACTTTCTGGTTGCAGCCAATTCATAAGCCTGTGTAGAATTTTTCATTCAATGTATGTGCATTCATGCAGGTTATTTACATGTTGAGCAATCGTCACATGCAGTGATGCTTGCGCATGGTACTTCTACTGGTCTGTTGCTCAAATTGTGCAATTGTGCATGATTTCCCTCTATATGGTTTTGGTTTCCTATATAATCTGGATTGAGTTTGGGAATCTGCTAGGTTCATGTTGTCCCAGGTGTTTTGCCACTGGCCAAAGAAGACCTGTTGAGGTGACGGCTAACAAGCGTAACGATTGCCTCTCTTATATTCTAATTGGGATTCATTAGGTGTCGAGGGCTCCGTGATTTTTGTCTTTGGGTATATAATTTTGTTCTCATTTTTTAGTACATTTGTTCATCTGAGTTCCTAATTTGAATGTCTCAGTATTCGCAGCCTACTCCTGCAACTTGGACATACGATTTTTCGTCGCCATATTGGCTTTTTGAAGTAAAAAGCCAGTGCATGGGATTTTTAAGTAACCGCATTGCATGGCCCTTTACTAATGTGTGCTCGTATTCTGGTCCGCGACACTTTCGTCTGCCTAGAGGCATGAGCTCAATCTCATGATCCACTTACCGACAAGGCAAGGGTTCCTTGAAAAGTTTATTTGGCATGACATTCTTTATTCGGTCCATGCTTGAGCTGAGTGCTGACAGCATCATGGGGTCGCTACTCTTGTTCGGGCCACGTACATCTCTTGGCCTACACACTTAGGTTGGCGCAGTGCATGGTCGATCCCCATGGACGGCAGAGAGTCCGCGAATGACATTGGTACAGCAAGCGCTTGTCTCAGGAACTCAATCCCGAGGAGGATCAAGAAGTCGTCCGATGGCATGGCCATGAAAGTGGGCATTCCTCTCCGCACTCTATTCTTCAGACTCTCCTTAGGCCACACCATGGACCGACGGTGCCTTAAGGTTTACGACCTTGATCTTTGCCTGCATCATCCTCCAATGCGAGTCCAAGTTGCTTGGCATCAGTCACATCCATAAAAAAATCACATCCATAAAACTCATGGGTTGCGCCTAAATCAATATTGAAAATATTTGCTATTGACTTATTATTTCAAGCAATACAAGCTATCATTTTTAGGGAAATGTTTTGCAAATCAATCACTTTCTGCAAATCAAATGGAGCCAACATATTCACATAAAGAACTTAAAATTGGGTAAGGTTGGTACAAGTTTTCATAGGTTAGGATAGATATTGATGTGTTCTTTTAATATTGATTGGGTTGGGTATAAGTCGCTAGAATTGTATTGCATATAAATTGGTCAATTTAGATTGAATAGTTTTTTTATGCGACATGACTCGATCCACCTATTTGACGGGTTTACTATGGCCCCTCTTTGGCTTAAGAAAGAGTCCCACTTAAAAGTGCTTGCTTAAAAGTGCTTGATGGACAAAATCAAAGCCCGAAAAACTTGTCCACTCGAAGGTAGTTTACTGTAGTCCGTCGAGTTGATTGTGGCTGCCGCTTGCAACTCAATCCTAGTCCATGGCTTCAGGCCTTCCAAAATGTAAAAACAGCCTATCTAGCTTGGACATAATCGCGAATGTCCATCTTTAGTGCCAAGAATTCATGCTTTCGGATGTCGTCATTGTGAACCACCCTGCTGTAACTCGTCGTACTTTTGTCCACCACCAAAGCAGCTTCGCATCAACCGAATAATAAATGGAAGCTATCGCTACCTTGGTCTACTCCCAGCCCAGGAAGTGCGGCCCCAAACTATTGCTCTACGTCGAATAGAAAGTTCTTGAGCTGCTTAGCATCCCGAGCACCGGAATAAGCCCTCGGTTCTTGCACCTTCATGCGACATCTCGAAGTTGCTCTCGCGAGCACAACAATTTATACGATCGCCTCGCGCAGTATATGTGCAGTCTCTCGGACATCTTCTTTGAAGATACCATTTTGATCACTCATAACATGATGTGATGCTTCAATAAAATCGATTCGCGTGTTGAGTTCCGCGAATGTTATACCTAAGCCGTCTAGGGCATTCACCTTAATTTCCAAATCCTCAATCTGCTTTGTTCGAGTGTGAAGTATGATTCCGTCCGAAGTGTTTTCCTAAAGCTTTGATACCAATTTGCACGATCTGAGCGGAGACCGTGCGATATATACTATCCTCCGTTCCACTACAAATATTTAGGGAAAATGTCAAATAAAGACCCAAAGTGAATCTCTTTTCTCAAATAAGGACCCCAAGTGGACAATGCTTCAATTAAGGACCCAAAGTGCCCAAACTAGTCTCAAATAAGGACCCAGCTCGCGCGACCGACCAAATGTTCGTCGGCCGACGACCGTGAGACATTTTCCGGCACCGGAATAAGGGCAATTTTGTCTTTTTCTTTTTTTTTCTTTTTCTTTTTTTCTTTTCTCTCTTCCCTCTTGTGGCCATCGCCGGCGACGTTCGCCGGCCTCAGGCGAGGGCGGCCTTCGCCGGCGTCGAGCGACGGCCACCCTCGCCTGGGCGAGCGAGGGCGGCCCAATGTTAAATGTTTGTCGCCCGACGCCGGTGAAGGCCGCCCTCGCCTGAGGCCGGCGAACGTCGCCGGCGATGGCCACAAGAGGGAAGAGAGAAAAGAAAAAAAAAGAAAAAGACAAAATTGCCCCTATTCCGGTGCCGGAAAATGTCTCACGGTCGCCGGCCGACGAACATTTGGCTGGCCGGCGAGCTGGGTCCTTATTTGAGACTAGTTTGGGCACTTTGGGTCCTTAATTGAAGCATTGTCCACTTGGGGTCCTTATTTGAGAAAATAGACCTACTTTGGGTCCTTATTTGACATTTTACCAAATATTTATCTTCTCAATCAAACCGCCAACTCTGACCAAAAAAAAAAAAAATCAAACCGCCAACTAACTAGTAACAAACGAACTTATCGACTAATGCATATCCAATGATAGATGCCCTCAGCTTGTTTGGTTTTTTACCCCCATAACCCTTCTTTCACTCAAATTATTAAAAAGAGCCAAAGTTATCAAAAACCCTAAATTTTATTTATCGTGACACATTATCCCAATTTTTTTTTAGTGACACAAAAATCCCAAACTTGTACCTTTGTGACACATCTACCCTCCGTTAAATTTCTGTTAATGATAACTGTTAAAAATTTACCTACATTGATGCTAGAAAGCAAACGGTATTGAATTGGCAGCTTAAAAGAAACAAAAACGATATTGTTTTGGTCGAAAAATCATTTAACGGAATATAATCTAGCACATAAATACAAGTTTGGAGATTTTTATGTCACGAGAAAAAGTTTAGGGTAAATGTATCACAGTAAGTACAATTTGAGGTTTTTGATGTCACAAAATAAAGTTCAACGGTATTGTTTGAAGTTTTTCCTATTAAAAATTAATTAGACCCAAAATAAAAATATTAAAAAAGTTATTTTTCTAATTTTGTTTTTTTCTTTTTCTTTTTGCACTTTTTATATTTTTCTCCATATGAAGCTTCCCAATAAGCTTTTTAGGTCTCTCGTCTCCAAAATCGGGACTCCGTCTCCCTCACTCGACGAAGACTCCCCCACCTCCCTTAATAATCGGCGGTTTGATGGCTTCGAATCAAGCCAGCCTCCTCCTCCAGAAGCAGCTCCGAGGTCCGATTCTGACCCTGATTTCGCCTTCCTTTTCTTTAGGGTTTCTTCGCTGTTCTTATTCTTCTCGCGGTCGATGATCGCGTGGGGTGTTTGGTGATCGGGTGCAGATCTTTGCAGGAACCCGGTGGATGGGTTCTCCGCGGGGTTGGTGGACGAGACCAACGTGTTCGAGTGGAGCGTCTCCATAATTGGCCCTCCCGACACCCTGTAGTGAGTCGGAATCGCTTTTGTTGGATTCGTCGAGCTCGAAGTTTTGTTCTTTTTCGTGCTCTCGATGTACCCTTTTCTTGTTTCTTTCGTGGGTCGATTCTCTTTTTTTGATGTGGCGGCGTGAATGGTTGGTTTTTTGTTCTGAAAAAAAAAGGTGATTATTTTCGTGGTGTTGTGTTTCGAATTGGTCTCAAAAAATTGGATCATCTGTTTCATTGACCATAAAAAGACGGTGTTTCTATTGGGAATCTGGAATTAGTCTCGATTTTCATGATGCTTCGGGTCCGACTTCTAGTTGTGCGTTCTTGAATCAGAATTTGGCTGCTGACTGAGGAGATGTGTGTTTACTAGTTGTTTGAAAGACGAAACTTGGTGGTGGGCGTTCCATTATTCCATGGAAAAGAAGTGTATGACTTGGATACCACATGCTTAGCTAATGGTTTATTTGATGGGTATTTCTTGATATATATTACTTCGACTGCACGTGGTGATAGGGTGAGATGAATTTCCTTGCATACTTTTCTCAACTTTGACTGGCCATTACTTTGACTAGATATATGAGTGTTTCAACAATCTCATATATTTGGTAAGTGAATTTTTTCGTGGGTAATTACCTTGATAGTTGCAACAATTTGGGATTCATATCTTGGGAGAGCTTGAGATTATAACTATAATTGATATTGGTGTTATTACTATTATTGTTTCATTTCGGTTTTTTCACTTATACCGTATTCTACACTTACTAAGTTAGACTATGAGCTTGCTGGAGCGACAATTCACAGATGCCTCATAGGTGATGTCTTATATTATGTCCTGTTAGTATATATCTTTTAGTCCTACTTATGTTCTTCTTTGAGGACCTCTGCTTGTTGGTTTGACTTTGGTATGAGCATGAGATTTTCATGAGGATTAAGTCCATATGAGCAGGGGCCAGTTCTTGAAACATTTTTCTTTTAATAAAATACCTCTAATTGTCTATTCTGCTTTGGTGTTAGTTTATTCAGCTCTCATTATCATTTCAAATGTCCAAAAAACCAACATATGGCTTGAGATTGATGTGTGGCTTTTAGCAACAAGACAACTGATTTTGTTCATGTTGTCGTCAATTTTGTTGCTCTATATAAATGTGAGACAGGAGTACTCCTTTTATATCTTTTACTCTTTGTACTGTTTAGTGAGCCTGTTATCTTCCGTCTTCTCACATCCTAAGCTGACTTAGGGTATTGACACATTTATCCAGCATCTTCAGTGTCTGGACTGTATTATGTACTGAAATTAAAACTTGACATTTTTCTACTATTCATGTACAATATTGTTATGGCAGTGAAGGAGGTTTCTTTAGTGCCATAATGAGCTTTCCACCCAACTATCCTGTCAGTCCCCCAACAGTGAGGTTTACCTCAGAGGTGTGGCATCCAAACGGTGAGAGCCATCTCTTACCATCAACACAGTGGCATTACTGCTTTTAATTATGCTTTTTTTGGCTATGCTAACTGCCTAAACATTGCCATCTGTAACTTTAGTATATCCTGATGGAAAAGTTTGCATTTCAATTCTCCATCCACCTGGTGACGATCCAAACGGATACGAGCTGGCAAGCGAACGCTGGTCTCCTGTACACACAGTATGTTTTTTGGTGTTAACACGCTCTCCCCATGCTTCATAGCCTTCAGTTTCAGAACTTTTGCCTATTCTTGCTTTTATATATCCTTAACTACCATCCACATTATTGCTTAATTGAGAGTCATTATGTGTGAATGCATGACTTGGTCGTGAATCTCGATGAACTGAGCTTGTAACATTTCGTGCGGCGCACTCTAGGATCCTCTTCACTTAGGGTTATCTACCCTCAAAAGCTGTATTCTGCGCTGCTTATTTTCTTTTGGAAAGCAAAATAGCAAGTTGCTGGAGACAAATAGAAGTGCTTCTTTTCTGTGCTTATGGAGACCTCCCAATGATTCAACAACTAATGTTGTTCTCATGCAAAAGACTAGTAACCTCTTAAGGACTTATCTTTAGGCCATCACAAACTTAAACTGTCATAGGTCCCTGCTTCAGAACTCAAGCTTTTGATGGGAACGTTTTTTTAATTTTTTTTTAACTCCCATAGTAAGAAGGATTAATTGCCTCAAAAGCATTGTACTTTTAACAGGTTTCTCAATTTTACCTTGAACATCAAACTTGCAATTTTTCCATGAATTATGGTGTTTATTGCAATTTCGCTCCATTTCCTGATAACACTCAAACATTTTTTACTAGATGCCATATTGCCTGAATTGGTTTAGTCGGATTTGGGACCTACGAGTAGATAGTCATAGATTTTGGTAGTTCGTGATTAAACAGGCGATGAAAACTATCAAGCTGCAGTTGGCATCACTTGCATTATTCTTGCTTTTGCAAACCTTGTACTTTTTAACAGTTTTTCCTGTCTACCCTAGGCGCCTGCCCTTCGGGATTAACATCTGGTTATTTAGTTAGTCAGGTTGGTCTTCTGCCCATATGCAACGAATACTTTGAATAGGATACTTATTAATACCTCAAACTCCAAAACTTCCAATTTTACCATGAATTATGATGTCTGTGTCAATTTTATTCCATTTCTAGTGCACATGCAGCTATGTTTACTATATGCTATATGCCTGAAACGTTTCAGTTGAACCTGGGACACTTGAATAGATCTTCATTGATTTTGGTAGTTAGTGAAGACAGGCGGTGAAAACTATTCAGATGGAGTTGGTGTCACTTGCATTGTTCTTGCTTTCGCTGTCTTCCAAGTAATGGGGGTGTTTGGGGTTCTTCAATTCCTGCTTTAGCTCTTTGTTTCAAGTTACTGTTACATTTGCTTTTTGATATGATCATTATATGGTTGAAGTTCTGTTGTTCCAAAGTCAGTGTCACATTAGAGTTAGGATGGTGCCTTATTGGCCATCACATTAGCAATTAAGGGTTGCATTAACCAATTACTCAGGTTGCGTTTGGAAACCACTTTCTAGGGGTCTAAAAGCCCTTGGGCAAATGTCAGGGTGTTTGGCAATTTTTTTGGGGTGAGCTTTTGCGGATATGCATTGCATTTCCAAATTCCTCTAAAGTCCCTTAGCCCAATGCAAGTTCTACTCAGCTTTGGGCTTTAGCATTTACGGAATGCTAATGCATTTTTTCTTTCCAAATTTGCCCTCGCTAAACTTTCGAAATTTCAGTTTTACCTTCACCATTTTCACCTCATGCAACATTGCTGGCGAGCTCAAATCTGACCGCTTGAGGTCGCGACCTCAACTTGGGGTCCTAGTGCCAACTCTGGCTCGCCAGTGTCGAGCTGTTGCCAGCGTTGGCAAGTAGATTTTCTTTTTTATTTATTTAAAATATGTACCTAAATCCTTTACAAGTCTAGTTTCTTCCAAAACAGTATTTAAACCAAAGTTGATTCCCTGTGCATTTTTCAATTTCACTTTACCAAATACTATTTTCATTTCGAAAACCCCTTTAACCTAAAGTCTTTACATTTCCCCGAAAGCTGAATCAAACGCAGCCTCATTGTGGTTTAGGATCAAAAGGCCGGGGAGGACGAAAATTGAAGAAGCCCTTAAAGTGTAGGGTTATTTAGTTAACTAAGCCTATAGCGCATTGTTTGAGATATCTCAGCACATTTTGCAATGGACCCAAAAGATGATTTTTTTTCCTTTTTTCTTTAAGCAGCTGCCTTTCACTGCTGACCTTTCAAGTTTGAATTAGAAGTAGACGATGGAGATGTCGCTGACACACCAATGCTGAAGTACATTGATCATCTCATAATGAATGCCATCTACTGAGAATCTTGTGCTGTAGTGGATGTTGGACTGGCGCTTCCAGTCCTTGACATGCTTCCAATAAATGAGGCATCAGAAGCATTTCTTGTGTGACACCTCTCCATCTGTTCTGCTAAAAAAAGCATGAGTATTTGGACACAAGATGCTTCCATGTTTGTACATTAGATTAAACAGAATATCTATCTGGGAAAGGATTTTGACTTGTTTAAGTGGGAGCACTTAAACAAGGATTGGGAGGGTGCATTGACTCTCACATGAAGAAGGTAGTGAGGCTGTAGAGTGGAGGGAGACCCCTTACAGACATGCGGATGTGGGCAGCAGTGGCTTTCTTATCCATGGAGAAGTGTATTCTACATACCTCAGCATTGTAGCTAACTCTTTTCAAGGGTACCTGGGGAATATGCTGTGCTCTCCCAAGTACTAATGAACACGGGACGCTGTTAGTATCATCATGTTGGTTCGTTAAAAAGCACCATACTGTTGCTGCATTGTGAATCACGAAAAACAGGAATGAGAAAGATGAAATTGCGTTATGCAGTACAATTTTGCATTGCTTTGAACAAAGAAATTTTGCGGAAAGGGCATCTAGAGCAAATGGGGGAATATGTCAGAAGTGTAGTTTTCAGGGACTTTGGGGCATTTATTTTCCGTTGGAGGAAAAAACACATAATTTTTACATAGAAGGATTTGACCTGTTATCTGGTGAGCTAGTTTTTTTTATTGGAGAAGACATCCGTAATTTTACATTTTAAGTGTTGAACGTCCATCTCGCAATTGCAAGAGTAAATTATGTTTCAGAAAATATTACACAATAGTTCGTCACGGTTCTGACCTACGAGGCTAGGACTATCCTCAAAAGTTGTGTAACAATGTTTTCCTCTGTTGGCTGATTAACTTGGACGCACCTAAGTTAGGGTTTTGACTGTTCATTTATGCTTTATCCACGTTCTCCTTCTTGCTTAGAATCTCAAAACACTCAATTGATCACTATACATGGATTTTCATGTTTTCATACTGTCATGTAGTGACTGATGTCCCCTCCATTTGGCAGGTTGAGAGCATAGTTTTGAGTATCATATCGATGCTTTCCAGTCCCAATGACGAATCTCCAGCAAATGTTGAAGCTGCGGTAGGTTTTTGATTTCTTCTTTTGCTTATCCAATCTGTTAAGACTACTACATACAGTTAGGTATACATTGATCTGCACGTAGGGATGAGGGATTTTCAAATCCAAAGATATAAAATTGGAAATCTGGTCATAAGTGGTAGGAGGAAGATGTTGGCAGCTACATTTTCTGATTGTCGTAGTACCGGTAAAATCCTGTATCTTGTCTGAATAGCTGGAGTTATCCTCTTTGCTTTAAGTAAGAATTGAATAATGTTTATCGTATAGAAACCTTTTCTCCCCCTAAATGGAAGGTGCATGTGTCCTGGTTAGCAAAGCCTCGGGTTTTGTGGCCCAAGTCTGTGATATACGGATGGACTAGGTTGCTCTATGTTCTGGTTGAGGCTTTGGTGAACATATTTTAAAGGCTTTTTGCTAGATTTAAATTTCTGTTTTTGAGGCTAATATGGTAGATCTGGAAATGCATTTTTTATGTTTGCGGGCATGTGGTAGGCTCTACTTTGCAATTATTGGAAGTCTTATTTTAGCAACCTTCTAAACTTGTACTGCAGAAAGAATGGAGAGATAATAGGAATGAATTCAGGAAGAAAGTTGCTCGCTGTGTGAGACGGTCTCAAGAAATGTTGTGACCAATTATTGCTCTGCTACTTCTTGTTGCTGCTTAAGTTTTGTCTTCGTGTAACGTAAGACTTCCTTCTGGGAGGGAGGGATTTTATGGTTGCCGCCAATTTATAAGCCTGTAGAATTTTTTATTAAATGTATGTGCATTGAGGTCTCCGATGCCTGTTCTTTCCATGACAAGCAATCATCACTTAAGTGATGCTTACCTATGGTACTTCCGCTGGTCTGTTGCTCAAACTAGTGGAATTGCTGTGATTTCTCTTTATATGCTTTTCCTTTTTGGCGCGAATCTGGATGACCTTGAGAAAATGCTAGGTTAATTGTGACAGATGTCTTTTGTCATTAGCCGCTGGCTCTGTGCTTTCACTCTCTCTCCTTCATCGTGATCATTGCAACTTTTTGAGTTTTGAAGCAATTGCAAAATATTTAGCCACTGTATTTTGGGTGCGTTTAGTTCAATTTTCATTGATAGTCCTTGGGAAAATTTTGCGCTGTATTTTGGGTGCGTTTAGTTCAATTTTCATGGAAAGTCCTTGGGAAAATTGAAAGGCCTTTACGTTAAAAGGGTTTTTCGAGATGCAATTATTGTTTGGTAAATTGTAATTTTAAAGGCATTAGGAAATAATTTTGGTTTAAATTGCATTTAGAAAAATCACACTTTGTAAAGCACCTTTTCTTAAAAAAAAAAACTCAAAACTGAAGAAGGACCCGGCGGTCGGCTAGCCTCTGGCAAGAATCTGGTGAGGCTAAATCTAGCTGTAGGCAGATTTGCTTGAGGTCAGGCGACCTCAACTGACCTTCATCTGGGGTCGCACTACCTCAGGCGACTCGGTGTCGACCCTGTTGCCTTGGTACACGCAACCCCAAGCGGACATTGCGTCGCCTGAGGTCGGGCGACCTTAGGCGCGGCTGCCGATATCATATCTAGTTCGTCGGCAGCCACATTTGCTCTCGCTGAGAGGCCAGCCTAAATCGTATGAGGTAGGGACAATTATGAAATTATTGAAGTTTATTGAGGTTAAAGTTGGAAGTAAAAAAACGTACTTGCATTTTGGAAATGCTTAAAGTATCTTCAGATTTGCCGTAGGCTAAATTTAGAGCCTAAGGCCCTTGGAGATGCAATTTCATTTCCTTCAACATTTCAAAAGAATTTGTCAAATGGTATTTGGGTTCGTCTAAGCACCTTAAGAGGGGGAGGTCCGTTGGCGTAGGCCAAGGGCAAAATTCTAAATGGGGATGGAATTCTCTCTCAAATAAAGCTGTAGGTACGGATTATGGACAGAATAGATAAGAGGAGGATTACGGAAAGCTCAAGGAAAGCTCTCCATTCGGGCCCCCTGAAGATAATTCACCCTGGGGCATCAGCTTTTTCTTTGCTCAGCTTTTTGCCCCTTGCCCTTTTCTTCCTCCCCTCATCCCAGAGGAATTCGTATTCTCTTATCCTTTTTTGATAAATTGAGGAAATTGGTGCTTCGCTTGATTGGGTCTAAACACCAAAAAGTCGATGTTAGGACCCGACAAGCTCATCTTCCTCGTTTTCTTTTCACCACACAAATATGCCACAAGTATGTACACTCGCTCAGGCGGTTTTGGAGTGTTAAATGGGTTGGTTTTGTTCGGGTTTTCAGAAAATCCGAACCGGTCCGAACCATTTAGGAGATTCCTCACGGAGACCTGATCCTTGATCCGAATTGTTTCGACCCGAACAAACTCAAACATAATAGTACGGCTTGGGTTTAAAATACCGATGTTTGGGAACGTTCTTTCAGGAAAAAAAAACTCAAGAAGCTGAGAAAACGAATTGCATAATTTAAGCTGAAGCCAAAGAAACAATCTGTAATCATACTAGCTATGGCTCAATGAAGAGAGGGGAGAGAGAGTTGCCTCATCACAGGTCCTTCCCGGCAAGCCTTGCCCTCCTCCATCTACCTCGCCGGAGGCGGCACTCTATCTCCGATTAGTCAAGCAGTTCTCAACTCGTGTACTGGCCATGGTTGACAACACAGTGCCATAATGGCAGTGGAGCTTGGCTGAGCCCAGACAACATGCATCGCCACCGACCACTTGCTTAAGATCCATAATCTTTTGACCTTGTACTTCCGGCTGGTGAGATCATCCCATGAAGATGCAAACCAGCTTCGGATTGATTTGGGGGTTCGACGATGCTCAAGGTCGGCGTCGATTTCTGATTTGTTGCGACTCGGTGATTCATCGAACTCTCGAGTCAAGTCAAGACTCATGATATTCCAATTTTTCTAGAGGAAAAATCGGCTTTATCTTCGGTAAAACTTTCTATTTCAAACTTGCTTTTCTTTCCATACAAGTCAAAATGGGCCGATTTAGGTTTAACACCAAAACCAAATCTGATCCGCTGAAATTGCTTGCTTAGGCGAACTGAAACGTGAAGTCCTCCGACTCGAACCGAGAAGTACGTTTGGGGTCGGGTTTTCGGGCCTTCCCGGTTTTCTTGACACGCCTACTGTAATGTTGTGTTTTTGAATGTATGCTGTTCCTGCTTACCAGGTCTTTTCCTTTCTTATCCACTCACTTAATTTGGACAATTGAAGACACTGTAATTTACAATGTTCAGAGTTCATTTTTGAATGTTAGATGGGAGTCTCACGGCTGCAATTTTCTGGTGGATTGATATTTTGTCAATTTAAATCATATTAGTCCACGTGGTGTCTCGTCATTTGTCGAATCCTATTAGCATTTATCAATAATTGTATGAGCTAATAAGTCAATTATATCTGCAATGACAGAAATGACAAGATTGAGCATTTGTTGGCTCATCATCGCACCATTAGTCAAATGTCATTCTCCGACAAATAATAGAAAACAGCATAGAAACTCCGAATTTCAAGGTTATATAATGACAATGCTCATCTGTTTTACTTGCTCCCACTGACAAGTAACCTCGTAAGAACGAACACTGAAAAGTCAAAAAGACGACTTACAAAAGATGGTTCTGTTGGTTGAAAATTTGGGTAAGTGTGGTTAGTGAATTAATTTTGATATTTAGGTCCGTTTCTTCGAAGGAAAACTATTTTTAGGAAATTGTATTCCGACTTTCCGGTATTTGGATAACCAAAAACTAATCGATTTATGGCAAACGTTTTCCATAGACTGAAACAACAAGTTTAGATTGGGAGAAAACGACTTTCTCTTATGATAAAAAGGAACCACTTTTCCCAAATTACCAAATAAGTGAAAACTTCGATAAAAAATATTTTTCTTTATCATAATGTTTTTAGCAAAACAAGCGCACCCTTAATATTATTTTCAACTTGAGAATTGGAAGGGAAAGTAATGTTCATTCCTTTTCAATTCCTTCGACACTAAAATTTTAGTATATCCCTGCCCTTTTTGGAGCTTTTCATACTTCTTTTGAGAGATATATTTAACGTTCAAAATTAATACTTTTAGATTTTCATTGTGTTTACTTGTCACAACTAAACATTGGAATTGAAATACTCATTGCATTCTGCTTTCCATCTCGTTCCTTTGGCCATTCCAATTCTCAAATCAAGTTGACCTTAAGTTATATAATGCTTGATCGAAGTAGCTCACGTTATTGAGTAGCTAAATCATGTTCATATTAAATGTATGTTTCTTGGAAAGCAAAAACATGATATTTCTTTGACTTTTATTTTAAAGCTCAAGGTGGTGAGCCTTGTTTGAGCATAAGGAGCACAGTTTGCAAGTTTGACGAAATTAGTGTAGAATCTTCAATTCTCAGTTGAGTGTGGACGAGTTTGAGTATTGAATTATGCCAAAAGGACGACATGTCTATGCTCTTAGACTTTTCATGGCGTAATTCCCTAAAAAAACCTCCAACTTTATGGCCAATTTCAATTTTGCCCTGAACTTTTTTGTTTAAAACAACTACTAACTTTTACTCTAGTCTCAAATCTGGCTTGCGTCCACATATGATCACTGGTTTCTTCAAAATTATCGGAGGTTGCTGTTGTTCCATATAAAGAAGAGGGTGCTTGTGGAGACATGAGTTCAAATAATAAACGTCTAACTGGCTTTGATATTGATAATTTTGAAGAAACTAGTGAAAATATTTGGAGCAGAGACAGATTTGAGACTATAGCGAAAGTTTATTTTCTTTTTAGACAAAAAAAATTCAAAATAAAATTAAGATTGGACTTAAAGTTGGTAGTTTTTAAGAGAATGAAGCCAACTCTTCATTGTCCCTGCTGAATGTCCTAAATATTATTTAACAGTACTTTCTCACTGAGGCTTTGGTTCTTTCTCACCGAATTTCCTACAACCAATTGTTGTTTTCAAAAGGGTAAACATAGTTCATGTACCATTGGTCAATATTCAATATAATCCTTGAATTTGACTTTTATTTAATTTGTTCATTATACTCTTTAAATTGAACCAACTTAGTCCTTCAAGTTGATTTGTTTACATTGGCATCAAATACAACACACAGATTCCTACATATGATCCACATTTGTGGATGTGGTAGTGCTTATTAGAATATTTTATAAGTATAATAATACACTCGTTATTTATTCATTATTTTTGTTATTTATATTTTGGTCATTTATACTATTTGTGTTTTGAAGAGATTTGAGTTCTTTTTCTTTCATCCGATTTGCTCATTTCAATCAATTGGCTACCGAATAAGTTTCAACCGGTACGTCTTCTCTTGAAAGCGTAGACTAAGAAAAGAACATTTAAGTCTGGGAATTGTATCTGGGGGACATGATTTCTGCTGTAACCAACAAGGTTGGATTACGTATTCGTTCTGGGAAATCATTGTCCTTAAGATAATATTAGAGATACGCCTCGCTCCAATCAACTCAGCCTTGTCAGTTGTAGAACGCGTTTCAAAGCTATGCAATCGCAGGTGAACCGAGACCGAACCGAACAATATCATGCCAACGCCTAGGTGGGGCTACCTACGGTCGCATCATAGCTAGGGCGGAGATGTTGGATTTCAGATGTCTCCAATCCCACATCACTTAAACACGAGCCCCGGGACCGGTAGATAAGTCTCGCGCAATTTTAAACCGAAGCCGCCCGTCATAAAAGTTCCATACGCCAACAGGTGATCCCTTTCGTGTTTCCCCAAAATTCGGTACTCATTAGCGAGATTTACTTCTTGGAAGGTCTAGCCATGAGCTGACTGACGTCCGAATGACGAAATGACAACGTTATGATTAAGTGTGAATCTGTAGTCTGACCTTAGGACATGAGACTGAAACTTATAGGCTGTGGGATTGAATGATTTTCAAACATGAAAAGGCCCCTTCTTCTTTTTAAAAAGCTAAAGAAGGAAGGAAAATCCACACGGAAAAGGAGAGTGGTTAGGGCAAATCATGAGAGCATAGAGGGACCCCATTGCAAGCAAAATTAAACTTTTACACATTGACCAGGCCTTTTCTGGTCTTCACATTCACAGTCAATCGGATTTAAGTAAGTCCTTAAAATATTTCATCTCAGTCATCATTCGGATCTCAAGATTACCAAAATGTAAAACTTCAAGAGAGTATTCTCATTCTAAGGAAGACAGAGATATTTAGAAAATTACGGGTGCAAGACATGCAGACATCAGTATGTAAAAATAAAGAAACGAATTCGTGAAACACAGAGGACCCCCATTGCAAGCTATTAGACTTTTACAAATTGACCAGGCTTTTTTCTGGTCTTCACATCCACAGTCATTCTTTCCCCTTAGCTAACCCTAAACTCTTGGGTCAATCTTGGTGGTCAACGACGACCTTTCCCACGACTTCCAACCTCCGACATGGTGTCACCATCCAATTTAATTTTCTCTAATCTAGTGATTATTGCCAACTAATGGTGCTATTAGGAGTGGCTAACCACATTTGAAGGTGAAATATATACAGGAAAATGTAAAGATAATTGTAAATGATTCTTATTATGGTGTGAATAGGGAGAACTTGCTAATTACACATCTTCTGGAATGAAATGAGAGTAGGGGTGGAAGTCGGGGCAGATACAATTGAATGCCTCATCTGCCAAACTCTAATGGGACATAAACAGACGGCGGATTTTGAGAAGTGAGACGGGTTTTGGGTTAATAGCTAAAAACCCAATGAAGTCTTAGATGTTATAATTGAGGAATCTGAAAATCGAAACCCTGTATATATAACTATTAAAATCGCGTTTGATGTCTTCATAATCTATCGAATTTTAGTATGATATGACATTTTCCGACGACAGCCGCCGTTTCATACCTCACTTGTAATTATAAGTTGATTTGAGACTTTTACGATCATCGATCCCGAATTCTTTTTCAATCTTCTGTGTCGAAACTCTGTAGTTTTTTTTTTTGGTAATCTACTTGAGTTTTGAATAAATGCCCGTGTTTGAAAATTATGGTTATTTAGTATATATTAGGTGAAAGATAATTATTTATAGAGGATTGCAAGTACCCAATTGATACTCAATAATTGCGATATGAGATTTAATAGTATGCCAAAAATACATAAACGGATTCGGGACGAATTTGGGGCATAAAAGAAAGTTTTGCGACAGATTTAAGACGGCATTAACTTTTCCAAACTGGTCTCACTTCTATCCTTAAATAGTTAAATATTAGGCCAAGAAAGTTTTTGTCAATGGTCTTTTTTTTTATTTATTCTTTTTCGTGTCTTGTCGAAATAGCTTTTCCATCCATGACTTTTTTGGCTCATCAAGATTTTTTTATGGACTCAAATGCCAAGCTCAAGCAAACCCAAAAGACACTCAAGAGAAAAGGGAGTGATTGCAAACATTACTTTCAAGGACATGCAAACTGTGCATATTTCTAGTGACGATCGATGATTGGTTTCATCTGAATTTGCAAAGTTTCAGCCACATATATGGTTTCGATGTACCAACAATCGATAACGATAAGTAAGGATTAGATTAAGAGGCGACTGTTTTCTCGCATTATTATCAGGTCCGGCTCTAATTTTCAATCGAGTCCTCTCACATATCGACGGTGACAGTGTAAACTGCTCTTTGCACTTTGCACCGATAGTGAACCGGATAAAAATTCACGTTATCCTTAACTTTGTGCGTGGGATTCGTTCATCTCAACTTATCGAAAGTTCCCATTTCCCGTTAAGTTACATGTTTTTATAAAAAAAATATGAAAATGTCAAAAAAAATAACTTTACATGCCAATATTAAATCGTGAAAAAATTACATAATTTTACGTTTCGATATTTATATATCAAAGAATTTAGGATATACAAAGTTAAAAAAATAAAAATAAAAGCAGAACCTGCATTTAAACACTCTCTCTCAGTCTCTCTCTCTCTCTCAATGTACAGACGTCTCTGGCTAACGTCTCTCTCTCTCCCATGCTCTGACCTCTCTCACTTCCTCACCTTTTCCCCATTCTCTCCTCCCCCCTCCCCTTTCTTCTCCATTCATAGAACCTCCTCTCTCTCTCTCTCTCTCTCTCTCTCTCATGGAAGTCTCGCCATGTCTCGTGACTGCAACTCCCTTTTCCATCTCATCCCCATAACACCACACATCACCCACACCCACTCCCCCCTTTTCTCCTCCTTCTTCCCTCTCATTCCTCACAACCCACCTCACATGTCTGCATAATCCGTTTCATTAGCCCCCCCTCCTCCAAGAACATCCTCTCCCTCTCTCTCTCTCTCTCTCTCTCTCTCTCTCATGACTCAACGCAGAACACTGCTCTCCTTCCGCCGCCCAACATCCTCCTCCTCCTCCTCCTCCTCGTCGACGGCAGCAGCAGCAACATGCGATCCCCGCCCCCCCTGCCCCACCACTCTCCCCGCAACGGCGACGCCGCCACCCCGCCCCACCACCACCACCCCCACCGCCACGACCGGCAGTACCAGTCGACGGTGTCCGTCCAGAAGCTCCGGCGGTTCAACTGGCTGATCCTGGTGCTGCGCCTCGCCGCCTTCTGCTTCGCCCTCGCCTCCTCCATCTTCTCCGTCACCAACTCCCGCGGCCCTTCCTCCCCCCACTGGTACGACTTCGAGGCTCTCAGGTACTCTCCTCCTTCCCTTCCCCCTCCCTCCTCCCCCTCCCCTTTTCTTTTTCCTTTCCACACCCACTTTTCTCGCCCCCCTCCCTTTTCCTCTTTCAAAACGGAAAAAAAAAGCAGCTTTCTGTCCGTGTAATTTTCCAAGGCCCAAAAAAAGAAAAAAAAGGGGGGGTTTGGGTTTGGCAAAAACGCCCGCCATTTTCGCACCCTCTCGAGCTCGATCGATCAATTGGGCACAGCGATAATGGAATCGACCGTCCCGTCGTCGCCATCGAATCTTTTGCTGGAACTAATCATGGGGAATTGGGGGTTATTGCAGATACTTGTTCGTGGCGAATGCGATGGTGGCGTTGTACTCGCTGTTCGAGACGGGAGCTTCGGTGTGGGAGATACTGAAGAACGCCACATTGTTCCCGGAGACGTTTCAGCTCTGGTTCGATTTCAGCCACGACCAGGTAAAGAGAAGCTCCTCGGAAACCTGAGATTCTGTCTTCTTCCTCCTCAGTTTCTTCGAAGTGAACGGTGCTGTCTGTCTCTTTGCGATATTTATGAAAATAAATGACATGAAAACTATTTTCTTGAAGATGATCTCTTCTCATTTAATTTAAAATAATTAGTTTATGGCAATATATATATTTAAATAACGAAAATATTTGTTCTTCGTTCATTTCTTAAGATGATTTAAGATGATTTCTTAAGGGTACGTCAAAGATTATTTTTAAGAAAATATTTTTTAAATTATTTATTTTTCGCGAAACACAACGTGCCTATGACTTATAATGACTTTTTCTTCACCAAATTCTCACAACAGAAGAATTAGTAGAAATGCTGATTCTTTCTCGCATAACTTAAGATTTTGGTCTAGGATATTTACTAAATAGATTAATCTTAGGAATATTATCAGGCCCACCGAGCGATACGAGTGTCTGGAGATTTGTTTTTTCGGTAATCGAATTCTTTCACTTGTCAATACCCAATGTCGAATGAATAGGCTATAACGGACCCCATAAAAATATTTGTTTGTCCAATTGGCGGATGTTTGGACCAATTGTTAGATTAATGAGCTGTGTTCGGATTGAGATTCCCTATGTCATGTGTAAACATAAAGAATAAGGTTTTCATTGTGACTTACTGAGAAATTGTGTTTGATTTTTGGGAGAAGTATATTACATTTTTTTTTCAAAATGCAATAAGCTGGAAATAAAGAGAATTCGAAATCATTGTTCTTTTTTTCTTTACCTCGCGTCGCAGGTGTTCGCGTACGTACTGATATCGGCGGAATCGGCTGGAATGGCGCTGGCGAGGACGCTAAAGGGATCAGACACGTGTACGGCGTCGAGCGCCTTCTGCATCCAATCGGACATCGCCATCGCCCTTGGATTCGCGGGCTTCCTCTTCCTCGCCTTCTCCTCGCTCCTCTCCGGCTTCCGCCTCGTCTGTTTCCTCATCAACGGCTCTCGTTTTCCTCACTAGAGATCGCGAAAGGCGGTGTGCCGGGGGCAGCGCGTGATTTTTTATTTGATTTTAATTATTTTCTTTCGATTGAGCTGCTTCACTCCTCCTCCATTACTGTAAACTATAATTATATATTACATTATAAATCGAGCAGATGAATTTCAAGAAATTTGTGAATTAATACAATTATTCTGAAATTCTGATAGGAAAATGAAATAAACAATCCTCGAAACTTTGACCCAATGTGCAATTTGGTCTTTGAACTTTTACTTTGTTTAATATAGTTCCTGAACTTTAACCCAAAATGTAATGTGATCTTTCCTTTAATTCATGTCCAGGGACTATATTGAACATTTCATATAGTTTAGGGACTAAATTGAACAAGTATCAAGAGTTAAAGGACCAAATTGAACAAATTAAAAGTTCAGGGATCACATCGAATGCTATAATAAAGTTCAAGGACTACATTGAATAAATTAAAAATTCAGAAATCAAATCGTACATTATGTCAAAATTTATAAACTGTTTGTGTCATTATCCCAATTCATGGACTGTTTGTGTCATTATCTCAATTCCAATATGCCTTTTTTAGAAGATTAACATTAGCGTCCTTTTCAAACTACGCATATTTTAATTAGCTCAGGCCTTCATGGCTACCAAACTCAGTGTCTCTCTCTTTTATGCTTCTGACGTCCTAAAATTCTTTGCCAAGAAAGAACTACATCCCAGACTAAAATTATCAGTAATCAAAAAATTGATTTGAGGTAAATTTGTTACAGATGTACTAGTGTAGAGTTTTTCGTAGTATTTATCTTAATTTTTAATCAAATTTACTAGGATTGACTTCGGACATTTCTTTCCCAATTGAGGAACTCGAGAAACTAATGAAGTTATTGCCGAATCGTTCAAATAATTTGTGATTTTCAAAACAAATAAACCCATAAATTGTGCCTGAACTTGGTAATCAATCAGTCATTTTTGGGGAAATTCTATGTGTTGTAGCATGAATGAGCATCCGACCCAATCCTCAACAATCACATTTTTGATTCCTAAAAGCTGTCCCCATCTTAGGCGTACTTCGCCAGACACCAACTTTATAGCGAAATAGAACCGACATGGTGCATAAAACACAGATTGGGTTCCCCAGAACCCGATTCTCCAAAAGAAGAGAGACATCTATCTGCTGAATAAGACAGGAAAGCTGGGTGATCATTAAGTTGCCCATCCTATGTTCATCCAATCGTCTGTAGAGATTGCCTCGCAAGATTTTCAAGCACGGTTCACGTTGCATCAACACATAAAATAAAGCGATTTACGGCGAAACATCTTAAACTGGGAGCATCCTGAGAAGTATGTGATTCGAAAGCCGTTTCACCCTTCACGCACACGACATTCACCTCATCGGACAATGACTCACTGGAATCTTAATGGTGTCGAAGTTTCGGCGAGTCATACTGGAATATCATACGAGACCATTCACTCGCTGGAATCTCGACGGTGTCAAAAGTTTTAGCAAGTCATACTCGAAACATCACACAGGACGAGCAAGTGGCAGGCACGAAGCACAGAGAGCTTTCAATGGACGGATCTAGTGGCATTTCCAGAATTGCTTCCGCTAGCCCCTATCTAGATTGCTTCCGTTAGTACTTTACAAGGGGGAAAGATGTTAGATCACATCACACCCTCATGTCATGTTCTCTCCAGCACCCTCAAGTGTCACCTTTCTTATGCTTTGATGCCACCAGGATGCCTTTGGCATCTGAACGGTTCACAATTCAGACCAAAACCTCCCCAAAGGGCCAACCCTTCCGAGACACGCACTCATATCATGACATATTTTTACTCACTAGGCCAAGAATGCAGAAAAGCTTTTCAAAAATTGTATCAACCGTCAAAGACGATAGAACAAGCAACCAATCATTATAAGAAACGTTCTTCACTCTATGCTAGAATTGTGACAACACACCTGTCCAATCATATCCTATTAAGCAACTGAAAAAGAGTACTCCAGATAAACTGCGAAAGTCTACAAAATGTTTCAGTTGCCTTCATATTTTGGGTCAGCCATCACAAAATGGTACGCTATTACCAGGAGAAAGATGAAAATACCAAGAAAGTTGGCGAAAAAGCCGAGGTCCTGATCATCAATCATCTGAATAGTCATAAAATAACACATTAGTTCCACATATAAAAAATATTACCACAGGCCAAAACAAGGGGCATCTTAAGGAGAATTAAGAGAAAAATATTTGTCCAGAACACACTATTCCATCTTGGTCCATTGCTCAACTACAATGAAACGTAATAGGGAGGAGAAAAAGGGAGAACACATTAGTCCTCTATCACGCCAAGAATACAATTTACAAGGAACCGATTGAATCGCTTCAGTGTTTGTTTGGGGTGACTCTTACTTTTGTCATCATCTTATAAGTGCGCTCTGTCAATTTTTTTTAATATATAATATTTGACACCTTTGAAAATGGTCATACATTAACATTTAGATTTACATATACTCACAATTTCTTAAATTTAATAAATAGTTTAAATATTTGACAGGAAATAAAAAAGTGTTGAGTCCAGGCAACCAGACTACTGTGAAAAATATTATGAGCGCAAATCCATAGAAGCCAATAGCTGGTGGCACGTAATCTGCATTACAGGCTACAATTGCAAATAAAAACTACAACTTGGCATCCATTTAAACCTACTAGACTACTCAACATATAACACATCATAAAAACCTGGGCATATATTGACCATTTGGACTGAGAAAGATCATATAACTTGTGATTTCTGAAACTATATGATGCTAAGAGAAAAACCTTCCACCTCTCAACCTATAATCCTTCACCATAGCATCTAGTCATGTCTAGACTAATGCAGGCTAATTATCTTCTCCATCATAAGAAAAAAAAATCAAGTTCAGACACCTTTCTTTCCTGATAACCTAAGCACAACATAACACTTTTTTCTTAGTTCATCCAAGCACTCATCAACATAAACAGGACAGTCCATTACCAACTTTTCACATGGAAAAAATTGATATTAAAAAAAATCAATGTGAATATCTGCAAATATCACAGGTGCAAGACAATTTGGTGTCTTAAATGTAATTTAACTTTTGATTCACAATCCAAAAATTATTTCCCAGATGGAGAGATTTCAGCTGTTTTCTACATATGGGATAAATCGATCCTCAAGTTGTCGAGTCAATGTAGAAGATACAGAACTATGATGCTAAGGATAGTTTGTTTCCTAGTACCTAATGCTCATTAATTAAAGATTCCAGTATGTTGTGACTGAGCTTCGGTATCACTTAAAGTTTTCATAGACTTCAAAATCAATTCGGCCACGTTATGAAAATTCACAAGATAGAACAAGTAAAAATTAGTATGCAAAATTGTAGAGGATAGCACAAATAGTGACAACTAATATTTCCCAACAAGAGTGCGAATATACAAGCATAAAGCAAATTGCAGCTTAACTTACAGGAGGTTTATAATCAGAAGACTCATGGCACCATCATGACACACACAGAGATCTTCGTGTTTTGCATGCAGAAGTACTTGTGACAAATAGACCAAATTTAGTATTATATAAAGTTGGAATTTTTTTGAAAAGAGGGAACATTGAGATTGTCAAGTTTTTTTTCAGAGGTCAACATGTCATCATTTACATATCACCCAGCTGAGATTCAAGGAATGCCAATTTTCCTTTGTCAATTATTAACAGATTTGAATGAAAATAGGAGGTGGAGTCAAGACATCTGTTCTTTCCTTCTGACTTCTCCGAACAAGTTTGGAATGGAATTATCCAGTTGTGTGGCATTTATAGAACAGTTGGTAATTGCAGTTTTGAGTCTTCTTGGGCAATCCAGGAACTACACCCAAGGAATTTTCTTCAAGAAACTATTGGAATTAGCTTGAAGTTCTACTCTTTACTTCTTGTGGAAATATCGAAATCAAGTCCAAGAAGGGGTCTGTCCACGATTGGAAAGAGTTGTTCAGTGGGTGAAGTTTGCTGTCAAGAGACTCAAGACAAGATTTGAAGCAGGTAATAATTCTAGTAGTAGATTTCATTTTGCTGGTCATAGAGAATTGTGCACTCACAGTCAATGGAGTATTTCTATCCTTGTTGTTTCATGTTAGCTGGTATTAGTATGCTAGATTCAAGTGGTTAGTTGAGAGCCACTGATCCTTGTTGATGATTGATTGTGGTAGTTGTCAGCCATTTAGTAGGGCTGGTTGGGGGTGTGTAGCTCTCCCAGTTTCAAGGTTCTATTGATTGAAACTAGTATATAAAAATGTTCTCAATTAAAGAAAGTTAACCCCAAGAATTTTTCTTTTTTGCCTATATGTATGCATACTAACCACCGGCCAATGGACCTGTCAAACATGATGCATGGAATTATGGAGATACTCCACCCTCAGTAAAGCACCTAAAAGTTTTATTATCGACAGCTGTTGAAGCTGTACTAAATGATAGCAATTGAACAGCTATATAAAGGGAAATAAGCTCGAAACCATTACTAATGGAGTTGCATCCAACATTTATCTTATACTTGGTCCAGAGTTGGCATAAATTCTCCTTAAGGTTCTTAGATACAGACCCATAATGCATGGACAGGGATATGTGAAAAGCCTAAAGTTGTCCTAAAGAACTCCAATAATCAATCCTCTCCTTCAGGATGAAAATATAATTGGATTTTGACGTCGACACAATAGAAGCAGGGATAGCTACAATTGACAGGAACAATGGAGGCACTATTGCCGGGGGCATCTTATCAGTGATAAAAGATAGTGTCGACGTTGCAAAAGCCCTAGTAGTAAGAAAGACTAATCTGATGGATAAAGAAAAAGGCTGGGAGAATAACTGTAGTTGAAACTAACTCAACAGTAGTTTATATATTCATTTTCAGTCAAAGATAGCACAACAACTGCAAGAGTGAACTCTTTACACGAAGACGTTAAGAGCTTTCTCTTGTGCTAAATTTCCTGTAACCAGGAGGAATGCTAATGAAGTAGCCAATCGGGCCACTTCTCAAATCAAAGGAGAAATCCCCCGTCTTACGTCAAGTCTAACGCATTGAAATTGCTAATGCAAATCGAGGTTCGCATTTTCCATTCACACAACACAACAGCCGCTCTCAAAATGCATCGACACACAACGATCCTTACCCCCCAGTGACTGTCCTGACTCCTGAGACAGTTCACAATTCAACCCAAATACACGTCGAGCTGACTTCTAACTTAGATGAATTGACTCCACTAACCGGTCTTTCCGTCCTCGGGCATGCCAGCCCTCGCTCGAGCACGCATGCTCGGGCCGCATCGTTGCACTCGATCGACATCAAATGCAGGAAGAATCGTGAGACACCACAGATTCACACTCCAGAATTCAGATCCCCAATACTGCAAACCAACTAGAGAGCTACTATTTCCATCTTAACCTTTCCAGAGTACAATGCCCATGAATTTTTACTATGTTTTCCGACACAGTGTCGTATCCAGGCGACAATATCCTCCGGTGCATCGAGTAACAGGAAGTAGCATCACAGATTAAGACCTCAAACAAAGAATTGACCATGTAGCGATCTCTTTCTAGAGAGAGAGAGAGAGAGGTACCTTGGGAGTCTTGATCGGATGAGGAAATCGCCGGCGGAAGAGGAGGGATCAGATCTCCGTCGGAGGTAAACGAAGACGAGCTTCTCGTCGTTGCGATCGCGAGAGGGGTCGGATCCGCATCTGTCCGAACGACCTTATATATATATGGAGGCAAGGCCGTGATGGGCCGGCCCAAGGCCGGGTCATCGCAGTCTTAACATCTTGAAAAAGCCCACTTACAAAGATATCAAAAGTAAACTGAATAACGGGAAAATTGTCCAAAAAAGTTATAAACTTATTACATTTTTTTTTCAATTCAATCTTAAACCTTTCAATTTGCCAATTGAATTATAAATATTTTTATATTTTTTCAATTAAATCTATCTGGCCAATTTTAACCAGAATTATCGGATGTGGAGGGCGGTCGTCTTAAGTGGACAACTAGTATTGACGATGACAATTTTTACTTTTTAAAATTTATTAATTTTTTATTTTCCTTTTTTTCTCTTCTTATTAATTTATTTTTATTGTGGTAGACGAGGGTTGCTAAGCCCTTGCTAGTCATTAGGTGAGGGTCTTTGGGTCCTCGCTGGCTGCAGGCGAGAGCTGCAGATGGGCTGCCTTCACCTGCGGCCATGATGGCCTCGTAGGGAGTAGTATAATTATGTCCTACATTCATCATGTTGGATTTTGAACTTGTGCCACCCATAATGGCTTGACCCAAGGCCACCCCACAAACCTCGAAATTTCTCTTGGTGGGAACAAGACATAAAAAGGGATGGAAAAACGACATAAATGGTCAATGAATTTTGATTCAATAAAAATATCTTCCATAAACTTTTAATTAGTTTTAATGTGGTCCCTGAATTTTGATCAAATATGCAATGCCGCCCTTAAACTTTTAATTTGTTCAATGTGGTCCGTGAAATTTTAAACATTTTCATATAATTTAGGGACTACATTGAACATTACAATAATTCAGGGACCACATTCAACAAATTAAAGTTTAGAGACGACACTGCATATCGGGCCAAAGTTCAGGAACCATATTATATAAATTAAAAATTCAGGAACGACATTTGCGTATTGTATTAAAGCTTAAGGACCATATGGTAATTAAGCCTAGTACTTGATTACCCTCTCGACCCATCAAATACGCGAGCGTTATGTGGAGCTACTCAGCTATCTCAGTTCTTGGAACTTGAGGTATAATTCATTGGTCTTAGAGTCAGCACTGTCTTCCCTACTTTTCTAGAATTCGTTTAATGTTCTAATGAAATATTTTTAGTCTGCCCTCCAAACGTGACACCTTAAAGGATAAAAAAATGTCACGTTTGGAAAACGGGTTTTATTTATGTCCGATTTTCAAATATGTTTGTGGCCAATATGTCCTTGAATGATTTTGGAAAGTTCGAGTTATATTGGTCGAATGGGTTGTGAAAATATCACGCCCGGACTAGATGATGCTGGTGCTTGCAAAGTCCATATCTTTCTGTGCAATTATTCTCATGCAATGAATTTTACACCATCATAAATTACATGACACAATGTTTAGTAAAGTCTTATAATAAATATTTACATAACATTATTTTCATCATTTTACGTTTCATGTCTAACCTTTAGTTGTATTTTTTATTTTATCATTCCATTATACTTTTCACTCACAAACTAAATAGTTAAATCAAATATCAACTAATAAAAATAACTAAAAGAAACCCATTTAATAATAATATTTAAATATAAAAAGTGCGATGAATATACAGCACCTTACTCATCCTGTACATATTTAAGAACAAGATGAAATGGAAAAATATTATAGGGATCTTGTGACTTTTAGCGCAATACACGACCTAAATGAATCCATATACTTTTGTATGTTCATAAGTCTATCACTCACAAGACGAGATTTAAATCAACTTTTAGACAAATTTTTATCATGTGTAATTTTGAAAACTGTTTTTAAGGAATCTTGACCAATTTCGTCATGAAGACAAAGAAATACACGCTCTTAAATAGAAGAAATTCGTCGTCTTTTTTACGCCAAAATGTCGTTTCCTTAATCTAAAATGATAAATAGACAAAACTCACTTTTTTTTCCTAATATGAAATCATTCAAACAGTGCTTTCATATGGATTTCTTTTTTTTTTATACGAAAAAGTTAAAAAATTAAAGGAAGAAACAAGAAAAGTAAAAAGTAAAATTGTGGCTGCTGGGATTCGAGCCCAGGTCTCCACGGCCACAACGTGGAATTCTTACCACTAAACTACAGCCACATGATTTGTTCACATACTTGTATACAATATAAAAATATTTATATCAGCACATTTTCTCATTCTTCTCTTCAAACCAACTCTGTGGAGTAGGCATTAAAGCGCTTTCCATGCTTCTCTTCAAACCTGCTCCTTTATACATTGTGGAATATTACATGCGAGGTGTTACTTGATGATATAGCATTTGGAATTATCATTGAAACCATGAAGATAATCTCATGAGTTAGCTGAATCAGGGTTTCCTCATTCGTGCAATTTTAGTAATTTTTTCCTAAGTCAGTCTTACTTATGACACAAATACAAAAACACAAAAAATTTATATAGAAAAACTTCGAACTTGTCATTGTATTTCCGAGTGAGAACAAAAAAGGAGAGCGGACTCCTATTTATAGAAGAACCCCTTTGATCACAATCATTAATCTCCAACCTAATCTAATGGTTCATATTGCTGACAAATCTCTTGTGTACAAGCGTATTTCCCATTTTGCCCCCAAAGAATGCTCTAGAATGCTTTGCGTACATTTCCCATATTACCCTAAAAAATGTTCTAGTGTACTTAAGAAAGGTCCTTAAAAGTTTCAAGGTTCACCCGATTATCTCGGATAATTCCTCGTAATATTTTGCCTTGAAAACCCCTTGACTGTTACAATAACATGTGAAAATCAGCTCCATTCAGTCTAGCGTTTATGCAAGAATCTACGAAAAATAAATCTCTTCAAACGTGGTGTAACAAGTCAATGACTTCAAAATTTAAGTGCCATGTTAGATGATATCTATTTTACGTGGTTAGTGTGATTGATTGATTATCCCTCGTCGGCCGTAGGATCATCACGCAAAATAATTTCTCACATACTAAAGTTCTAATTGCCACATTGCACCGGAGAATTGCCGAGTCATCACTTCTTATTCCTAGTCACTTTTTCTTCTCTCCCCTCAAAGTATTGAAACGGTATTTTTAGCACTTTTGCTTTACCCATTTTGGAACCAATCCATCATAAGAAATTCAACACTTTGCACTACTTTTAATCGTTTTGGAAAATCCATTCTATTGCAACTTAGTACTATTAAAAATTAATTAAATAATGCTATATCTTAACGGTTAGATAAACTGTCAGTAAATAGCATTATTTTCATCAAGTGCAACTGCTCTTAATACAGTTAAATTAAAATTTTAAAACTAAGAGGAATATGTATTATTTATGCCATTTTAGTCGCACAATAATCTACTTGATATAGAAAATTGACTTATTTACAACAAAACTTATTATATTAAAAAGGTCTATCCCAAAACATCGAACTTAAATGGGTTGCGCGAGGAACCCTCTCCTGGTTTTGGGCGAGGGCCCGACGTTCTCACCCGTGGCTGGCAAGGGCTACAATGCCCTCACCCAGACTAGGCGAGGGTCGGCCGGCAACCTCATCGGCCTAGAGTTGCAAAACAAAAAATTAAACAAAAAAAAGAAGAGAAAAGAAAATTGAAAAAAAACTAAGTAATATAAAAATCATAAAATTTTAAAATATTAAATTATAAAAATTGTCCATGTCATCGCCGGCCATGTCACGTAGGATGGCCGGCACTGACTAGATCGCCACTCTAAAAAATATTTCGGCCAAAATTGATCAAAAGGACTAAATTAACAAATCCTAAAAAGGTTTATAATTAAATTAGCAAATCGTCAAAAGGTTTTGGACTAAATTGACACAATTGAAAGGTTTATAACTCAATTGACAAATCATCAAAAGGTTTAGGACTAAATTGGCACATTGAATTGGCTGCTGTACAGTAGATTTTTGACTTTTTAATTTCCAAATACTGGAATTATGTTTGTAACCCTGTTTAGTTTCCAAATTTGACGCGCCGAAACTATGTGCGAAAACCTCTAATTGATTTATTTTAAAGTAAAAAAACTGATTCAATGAAAGCAATAAAGAATGTCTATTTTTTGAGTCGTTATACTAATGAGATCCAAATTTTAGTTTGACACATCGATTCTCAACAAAACTGTCGTATGGTAAGAATGTCTTGAACACTCTATCATATCGTATTATCATTAACTACACAATTACTAAATGAGAACATACTCAAATCGTCAATCTCTTGCGTTCGACATACTCTCATGAACTTTCAGTTGTCCATTCTCAATTGATTTATTTTCCTTTTCTTTTCTTCTTTTTGGACCACCTAGTAGATTATGGAAAGATGATTGTCGCCAAGCGAGATGATTTGATTGATTGGAGGCCCATGGGCCTGGGCTTACTTGTTATCATAGAATGGGCCGGGGCTTGTCCGCCTGCGCCATGGATCGGGCCTCTGTAAGGCCCAGTGTCACCACGGAACATATAAAACAGCTCCGCTCTTGTCATTCCCCCCAGTTGAATTAGGGTTTCGGCTGCATCGACCTCGCCGTCGCCGCTTCCTTCCTCCGCCTGCTCGATCTCCCCCGAAAATGGATGCACAGGTGCCCCTCTCTCTCTCTCTCGCGCGCGCGCATGTTTGGTCGCTAGATTTAGTTCACTACATTGCACAGCTGCACTGCACTGACACGAGCTTGTTGTTCGGATCGTCCGGTGCTTGCGTCGGTGAATTGAAACCCCTTTCCAATTCGCTCTTTTGCAGACGGAGAAGGCGTTTCTGAAGCAGCCGAAGGTGTTCCTCTGGTGAGTAAGGCTCCGTCAGTAGTCCTAGACAATTAGTTGTCGATCTTTTTGCTTATGGAGACGAAAAGAGGCGCGTCGGTTGAAGCTCGGGGACAAGTCTTTCGATTGTTTGGACGGTTTCTCGGGTGTTTTTGGTACTAAATCATGAATTGGGAGGGGCTTGTCGTTTAGTTGGCACAAGTTGTCGTAAAGCGTTCGTTACAGATCAAATGTAGCATTGAACGGTTTATGGCAACCAACTGTCTGCGAGTACTGTTGTTTTAAGTTAGTGATTGTTGTCCGTTAACTTAATTTGTGGGAAATTTTGCAGCTCAAAGAAGTCGGGCAAGGGTAAGAGGCCCGGAAAGGGCGGGAACCGTTATTGGAAGAGCGTTGGGTTGGGATTCAAGACACCTAGAGAGGCAGTTGAAGGTATACTTATCTCTACGAATGGGATTCGTTGGAATGGTTGCTCTTTACTGTTTTTGTTCGTAGATGATATCAAAGACGACTGTGTCGTGAACCTGGGCACTTTGTTCATGATCTAGAAACATCAAGTGTGAATTTCCAGTGGCCAAGTATGCTTGTGTTTTTGGGTGGACATGTTTGTTGCGCCTGGTTTGCTGGTTACAGAACCACTGGGTTCAAAAGTATTCGGCTGAATCAGCTGTTACAGTTTTGGTTTTGTAGAAGATATCAATCCCAGATCACCGATTTTTCTTTTGATACTCTGAACTTGATCTCGAACAAGAATCATGTCATAGATACTCTGAGTATGGAAGAATCTACTTGGGTTTATTTTTTCGTTTTTGTGTTATATACTAGTCAATGACTTGGATTTGTTTTAAGTAGTCTATGGCGTGTCTCCTTTACTGCAACATTGTGGTGATCTCAGTAGTTAGGTTCCTTGACAAGAATCTTGCTAGATAAATTTTTTCCATCCTGGTCATGTATTCATAACAATTGTTTATGTTGTCCAAAATACTTTTTATTGGACTGCTTATTTTCTGCCCACCGTATCATTTTCATCAACACTTTGAAGGTGTGTGTAGGAGAGAGAAGGTTGTAGAAGAGAGAGATTGTACGAAGAGTGAGTTAATAAGTTGAGAGGCATGAAGAAATGAGTTTGACCAAAATTGTCAGTCCTTCTAGGTACATGGTTATTTAAGTCTTTCAGTTTGTGATACGGTACTTTTGTCATTGTTTAACATCTTTAAATTTACAAAATGGGTAATCAGTGGACAATAATGAAGGATGCAAATTCTAAGATGTTGAGTAATCTATTGGATGTTTGGTTCATGGAATGAAAATTGTAATTTCCCGTGGTACAGGATGTAAAATGGAACTTTACCTGAACTATTGTGAAGCTTTTTTAGTTTCTAAGATGTTGAGTAATGTATTGGATGTTTGCTCCACGGAATGAAAATTGTAATGTCCCTTGGTACAGGAACTTTAACTGAACTATTGTGAAGCTTTTTTAGTTTCTAATGCCCTTGCTGCATGTTGCATTGTTGACTGTTCTCTTGCTAATTTTTTTAATTCTAATACTGCTTGTTTGTGTCGTTTCTATGTTATTTTTGCATTTAGTTTTGGTTTGTAATACTGGTGAAAATCGAATATAACAAATTCTTTTAATGACTTTGTATGTGCTTCTCATGCTTCTCCATCATCGAATTCTTCTGTACCTTAGTTTCTTCCTGTATTTGAGTGGATTAAGCAGTCTGTTCACAGTTATTGGCTTTATTTGGTTGCAGGTACCTATATCGACAAGAAATGCCCATTCACTGGGAATGTTTCCATAAGGGGCCGTATACTTGCTGGTACTTGCCACAGTGCCAAGATGATGAGGACAATAATTGTCCGCAGAAATTACCTTCATTTTGTTAAGAAGTATCAGAGGTTAGAACCAACTGCTTTTAGTCATCCCAATATTTTATATCTTGTCTAGTTACCTAAGAAGAGGCTGTCTGTCATCCCAGTATTTTCATTCTTTGTGTTTGCATGCTTTTCTGGATAGTACAAAACAATGTAACTTGTTGATTGATGTGGTTTGTCCTGTTGTTGTGTAGATATGAGAAGAGGCACTCAAACATTCCAGCTCACATATCTCCATGTTTCCGTGTGAAGGAGGGCGATCACGTCACGATTGGCCAGTGCAGGTTTCTTTCTTTGTGCAATTATTATGTTCTGCTGACATTTAAGCAGAGGCCTTTTCTCTAACTGGATTTTTCTATGTCAGGCCCTTGTCAAAGACTGTGAGGTTTAATGTGCTAAAGGTTATTCCAGCTGGATCATCAGGCGGTGGCGGGAAGAAGGCCTTCACTGGAATGTAATTGAGTCAGTTTTTACATTTTGGTTTTACATGTTGAGAGAAGATACTAGATTTACTCTACTTGGATTTACTGTGGTTCAATCTTTAGTTGAGTATCAAATTTTTGTATGACCTTTCTACCTCTAACTTTTTTATTGTTGAATTTTCTTTTACTTTTGGCTGAAACCTACCAATTTCATGACGGCAGAGAATTCATGTTTGTCTGATTGTGAGTTTGCATGTTGTGTGGGGTTTGCTGCGATCTTTGTTGGAAACATGTGATGAACAATCAAGTTTTGCCTTTGTTGTTGTTAATCAGTTCCTGGGTTAAAATTTCCTCTTTCTGGATGGCCCCCAGTTAGAATAAACCCAAGCAAAATAATTGAACCTGTGGTCTATTTTGGAGTTCTTTAGGCAGGCTGAAGTGACGATACCGTGGATGTAAGTCAGAACAGTTGATGGTTTCTTCATCAAGTCGCTATCGGAATTTGTACCCTCTTTTTCTTGGCTAAAGCCAAATGAAAGTTGTTATGATATTATGTTATGGTGTATGAACCATGCCGAAATCCAATGGTTGCATATTTGGGATTCTTGTATTATGTGGTGGACCCTTTGGTTTACTTGGGCATGCGTGCTGATGTACATTAAGTAATCAATGAATTCACCTCAATTCTAACCTTGAAATGATATCTCTGAACATTATGCACCAATTAGAGTGATCCGCGTGATTAGTTTGCTGAACAAGCCTCTGATTATACGGCGATTGATGAGATGAGTTATTGAGTTATAAATTCTAGGTAGTTGAGTTGTCGATGCGTCTTCTCTGAAATGAAGAAAGTTCCGCAAAAAAGGATGGAGGCGTGCGCTTTCCATGAAAAGGTGAAAGGTTCATTATGAATTGCATTTGTTGATTACTTTCGAGACTTGTTCGTGGCTCTTTAATTTTTGTTTTTAGCGGTCTTTTATGGTGTATAAGTCTGTCTGGTGGATATTATTAAAAATCATGCAGAATTTGTATAAATTGGAGACATTTTGCGATTTGATCCCCAAGTCAGCTTGTGAGGCATGCATACTGATGTGAACGTTCTCCCTGTAAAGAAACGTAATTGATTGTCAATACCTGTAATTAAATACAAATGATGGCCATAGTAGTTATCCTGGCAATTCCTCAAGTCAATGCATAAAATCTTGAAGAGCAAGCAACTTGCTCAGGCGGTTTTTTTATTTTTTATGGGCAGCCGTTCATCGTCGGATCTTGCCAAGACAGTCCCTAATAGTTTTCGTTTCCGAGATATCTCTTCTTCGTTTTTTGTTTGCAGGTATTTTTTTTTGGGTAATTCGCTCCCATGCTGTGAGCAGTCAGTTAAATAAAATTCCGATGCCTTCAATTTTAATTCAAAAAATTAAGTAAAATGATAATAAAGATTTTTATGGGAATGTTTCGATTCATAAACTAGACGAGTTCTCGCTTCGCTTCGAATGAAGGTGAAGAAACTAATATTGAATTCGGCTCGTTCAAAGAAGGGTCCGTAATGGACCTTGTATAAAACCTAATTGAGTTCTCACATCAAATTTCTCTGTTTTTCTTTCTTTCTTTCTTTGTATCTAAAGGAATCTCAATTCTCACCGTGTGAGAGTCTTCAATTCTGCCAAAACCGACTGTATATGTCAAGTGGTTTTTCTGAAAACTAGGGGTGGAGAAGCCGCGTGGGCTTCCTCATTTCCCTTTTTTAGGATCGAGGAAAAACAAGGTGCGGAAGCAGTTTGGAGCTCATTATCCCAAGATGGTTATGTTTTCATTGGTACAAATAGCACGTGATGCAGTTAGCATTCATGATAAGACTTATGATACTTACTTTAGAAGATGTGGTTTAACACTTTAATATTCTGACATCCTTCTATTAATAGGAAGGGGAATATTCGTTGACGAGGGCATCGTTTTCATCGTCCTTGCAAAGGAACTTCCTCGCAATTTTCGACAATTAAAAAAAAAAAAATCTGACTTATTCCCTTTTGAGAATTTTCAAATTTTGAGGATGGATTCCGCTAACACGAGGGCACGGTTAGCTCCAATTTGTAATGGTGCTACTTCGACCACAAATTTCAGTTTGTAAGAGGTGGGCAACCGGAAGATCCTTATCTTATTATTCAAGCCATACAGAATTGGTAAGAAATTTGAGTGCGACTTTTATATGCATGATGGATATTTCTCAATCAAATAATAACAATAATTAGTATGATAAGATCTACTTTCCTTTTTTTATTTAAAGAAACATATTTAAGTGGTAACATTCAAATAATAAGAGACTTATGAATGATTCAATTGTAAAAATCAGTATTGGTAGATATTCCTCGAAATTAGAAAAAAAAAATTAAGAACTCAAAAAATGAAGTGCAACTTTTGGCCTTGGCTCATGCTACCTAAGATTGATCTTGTAATTTTTCTAGGTACTTGCACATCTTCATCCATGAGATTCGAATCAATGGAGCTAATTTCACTTAGACTTGTTCTTTACTAGGGAAATAGATCTTATCGTACTAGATGATATTATTCTTTGATTGACCAATATCCATTGCGTGTTTAAAAGTTGCACTTAAATTTCTTATGAATTTCGTATGGCTCGACATTTATGACTTCTGATTTGTTTCTTTACATAGAAACCCCTTTTCGAAAGTTGAAATTTCCCAAAACAAAAAAGGTCAGATTTCTTCACCAAAAAAAAAAAAAAAAAAGGTCAGATTCTCTTCAAATTGCCGAAGATAAACAACCATTGCGAGGATGACGATGACGATGCCAAAGTCAGACGATATTTCTTTCCTACTAACAAACAAAGTGGAGTGAAGTCGGTCTTATCCCATTGTTTTCCTGCTCATAAGTTCTGTATAAACCCAACCCCCATAACCTGCGAACCCTTCTTCACCCAGCCTACGAACAAACCTCTTAGTTTGTTTTTTTGAGTAGCGAGAACCACGTACAGAGTAGCGAGAGCTTCGGAGTACTTGGTCATCACCGGCGTGGGAATCCGCGACATAAAGATAGTGAAGAAGGGATGGGTCCTCCCCGGCCAGTCCTACGCCGTCTTAGACGTGTCGCCGGTGAACTACACCTTCGAGGTCCAAGCCATGAGTGCCGAGAAGCTCCCTTTCGTCCTCCCGGCGGTGTTCACCATTGGGCCCCGGGTCGACGACGACGCGAGCCTTTTCAAGTATGCGAAGCTCATCTCCCCCCACGACAAGCTGTCCCACCACGTCAAGGAGCTCGTCCAAGGGATCATCGAGGGAGAGACTCGTGTTCTCGCGGCCTCGATGACCATGGAAGAGATCTTCCGGGGCACCAAGGATTTCAAGCAAGAGGTGTTCGAGAAAGTCCAGCTCGAGCTCAACCAGTTTGGCCTATTGATCTATAACGCAAACGTTAAGCAACTGGTTGATGTCCCGGGGCACGAGTACTTCTCTTACTTGGGCCAAAAGACGCAGATGGAGGCGGCAAACCAAGCAAAGATTGACGTGTCGGAGGCCAGGATGAAGGGTGAGGTTGGGGCCAAGCTTCGGGATGGGCAAACTTTGCAAAACGCAGCTAAGATTGACGCAGAGACGAAGATTATCGCGACGCAGAGACAAGGGGATGGGAAGAAGGAGGAGATCAGGGTGAGGACACAAGTGAAGGTCTACGAGAACCAAAGAGAGGCCGAGGTCGCGGAGGCTAACGCGGAGTTGGCAAAGAAGAAGGCGGGTTGGACTAAGGAGGCGGAGGTGGCGCAGGTGGAGGCCGCTAAATCGGTGGCGCTTAGAGAGGCCGAGCTGCAGAGGGAGGTGGAGAGGATGAACGCCCTGACGCGGACGGAGAAGCTCAAGGCCGAGTTTCTGAGCCAGGCCAGCGTTGAGTACGAAACCAAGGTAAAACCCCGCATCTCTCTCTGCCCTTCAAGTCAAGGGAACAGCGTTCTTAAACTGTCGTATAATCCGCATAGTCTATTGATAATGTTAGGATTTCGTTTTCAATCTCCTAGTCATAGTCAAGAAAGATTACAGTAAGTAGAACCCAGAGAGAGCAAAAGAAACTGTCATGCTTGATTACATCAGAAGGGGCATTCCTCGGGAGGAAATATTGGGTAGGCCCGCCCCACCACGTTATCGAAGAGGAGAAAATATCTGAAGAGCGGAGCCCATCTGAGACACGGGATCAATTGTTGAGTGGCTCAAGACCACACTGATGTAATGGGGTGGGCCTAAATCAATATTTTCTCATTCGGTTGATATTTATAAAAGACATTGCAATGTACGTCGCCGTCAAGGACTGACACACTGGCTATGGCTATAGTTGTTCCACATGCATAGGCGATTGTCGAGCAAGGGTTCGGTAGGTTAATTTAAAGGTTATGTAAAAGCGATTTGAAAGGCTAGTGACCTTTTGGAGTCTGGTAATATGGGGTTATATTCTGGAATGTTGCTTCACATGTACGAGAATGATGACGATACATTTGGTCTCTAAAGAAGAGTCGAACCTAGTCTGTCAAGAATTAGTTGCTTGACCGACTTGAAACTTTTGTTATGATTGAACTCTCTCAAAAGACACTTGCCTTTTTTAACCTAAGGTACAAGAAGCAAACTGGGAGCTCTACAGGAAGCAGAAAGCCGCGGAAGCAGTCCTGTATGAGAAGGAGAAGGAGGCGGCGGCCCAGAAGGTGATCGCCGAGGCCGGCTTCTATGCGAGGCAGCAGCTTGCCGACGCCGAGTTCTACGCCAAGAAGAGAGAGGCCGAGGCACTCGTGGCATTAGCCCAAGCCCAGGGCACTTATCTGCGAACGCTGCTCGAGGCGCTGGGGGGCAACTACGCCGCCTTCAGGGATTACATGATGATCAACAACGGCCTGTTCCAAGAGATGGCGAAAGTGAACGCGGAGGCCATCCAAGGGCTGCAGCCAAAGATCAGCATTTGGACTAGCGGGGGCGAAGGAGGCGACAAAAGCGGGATCGGCAATGCGATGAAGGACGTCGCCGGGGTTTACCGAATGTTGCCGCCCTTGCTCAAGACGGTGGAGGAGCAAACGGGGATGCTCCCACCGGCGTGGATGGGCAAGTTGACCGACTCGTCCGGTCGGTCCAATCCAAATTAAGTGGGAGTTGATCGAAGGTCAAGTGATCGTGCTACTTCTGCGTCATTTAACACGAA